GTATGCATTCAATCTAGTTGATCAGCACACATTGCATTAGAAACTAATTAAAAGAGTCAAACAATTTTAATTATATTTAATTTAAGTATTTTTACCCCACATAAGTCAAGGGACCAAATAAGATCCGCTCTAGACGTTGGTTACAATTCTCAAAAAACTTAATTACAATGTCTCTATCATTCTTTCATAAAAAATGATCAGACTCATGGATTTTGAATCGACTAGGTGGCTAGCTAGCTCCATAATTCAGGCTGGGGTAAGTGCAAAATTTGCACTACAATAGTTAGGTTCGGGCTACCGTCATTCGATACCCAAAATAGATTTAGGATTCTGGGCATATTATGAATTATAAGATCCCAACATTCGAGAATTTAATCTCAAATTTTTAATAACTTATTAAACTTAAATTAAAATTTCTCTCAATCAAAAAATTTAAAGCCCCACACTTAGATTATGTCGGGGCACTTCTGAATTATTTCATAATCTTTAAGTGTCTCCTACCCCTCTTTCTTTGACTCCAAAAATATGTGTTCAAAACTTGATCCATTCACTGTTGAAACTTCGAACTCACATCCTTTGATATAACTCCTAGAAAATCTCTAAACAAAATTTTTGTCGTTGTTTTAATCGAGAGTATTTGTAGGAGACCCCGATCTCCTATGATGTATGCTTGTAGGAGATTTAACCCCCATATCCACCTTTCAAAATTGATTTTCAAAACTAATTAATTATTCTCTTTTAGGAAACTCAAAATCAACGACGATCGTTATCGTCATGTTCGAATAATCGTTAACAAATGTTATTTTCTTCCTTTAGAGAGATATATCATTTATTGATAAAACTTTGAATATGAAATTAATAATAATTCATCTAGATTAAAGTAGCTAAATATTCAATCGAACTTCATTTTAACCCCTAAGGCCATATGCAGTTCTTTCTTAAATTTGGCTATGATGTTTAAGATGAAATTTCAATTCTAAATATGAACCCTGTTTGGAAATCTTATTTCTACCTCTTGAGGTAGTATATCTTATCTAACGGGTTATTCTATTTTAGAATTGAAATTCAAAGTCAATTTCATATTTTCCAAAGAAGACTAAACCTTTCAAAACTCCCTTTCAACAAAACATATCTAACTTAAAGAAGTGATGTCTTTTTTTAGTTTGGCAATTTTTTATGATGGAAATATTTAGCTAAGAACTTATATGCTAACTCATTCCAAGTTGTTATTTATCTTTGACAATTAATTTAGCCACATTTTAGCTTTATCTCTAAGAAAAATAGAAATAACCTGAGTCTAACGATGTCATCACTAACACTATTATATTTAATGGTTACATGGATTTTTAAGAAACAAGCTATATATAAATTAGGGTCCTCTAAAGGTATCTCCTCAAACTTCAAATTTTGCACCATTTGGATAATGACAGTTTTCAATTTAAAATTAATTGCTTGTATGTTTTGTCTGTTTATGCTTTGATGAATACTCTCAACCGTAAGGTTGGTGTATTTCCTAAGCGATCTAAGTTGCTCATTTTTTAAGTACTGGTTCAATCATTTTAAAGTTTTTTTCCAAAATGTTTAATTATTGTTATTCTTTTTAATGTTCTTTAAATTTCATTGTCAAACAACAATTCTTCTGATTTTCTAATACTATGTATGTAACATTGAGCAACATAATAGAAAATTTAAAATACAGAGCAGTTACAACTAATCACATATCAAAGAAATGCTAAGTTGGTGAAAATTCAAGCAAATATAAATAAAAACAGAAAGTAGAATTAAACTAAAAATTATTTCAGCAATATATATAAAATATAAAGCAGGATAATTAGTTCACTAATTTGTTCCCGACATGGCACCAAAAAACTTGATTATTGGTGTATATTGTGTTTTATATCTCTATAAACACATACAAGGATTTACTTATGTTTATATTCACTAATCAGATGTCACAAGATAGTTCAATTTTTTTTTTAAGTGTAAATCTCATTTAGAATGCAAGTGTGCATTATCATATTAAGTAATAAAGTGATGAATAGAATGTCAATCCCATGATAAACAGTTTAGTAATATCCTAAGTTCACTTTACTATTGCTTACTGTATTGTTTTTTTTCTATTGAGTTAATAGAAAAGCTATTAACAGTTTTAAAAATAAAAACTTCAAAATGCATGAATAAAAGTTTTCTAATTTTTATAAAGTCTAAATCGATGACTCATTAAAAGAACGTAATTACATTAGAGATGATTTTTTCCTATGGTTGGTGTGGATCAGAGAAAATGTCCTCTCGTCTCTATCGAGCTAATTAAAATATAAGTTAGTTGAAAGAACAAGAACGGCTGAAGCTCAAGATAGAAAAAAGAGACCACGCGGAACCAGAGAAACAGAGAAGAAGAAGGAAAAGCTATTATTCATATTCCAGGTGTAATATAGTAGATGTTTAAATAGAAAGCTAAAACAAGAAAATGTATTCCTAGGTACATGTGTAGCAGTCTTATTGAACTGTGCTAACAGCCCCCCACAAATTAAACATTCATTTCTCGAATGGTTAATTTGTTTCGGAGAGCTTCGAAGCAAGAAGCAGTAAATGCATTGGTTAGGATATCAGCAACTTGATCAGAAGAGCTGATATGCTGAAGTGCAATAGAGCCATTGTCCAGGTGTTGCCGGATGAAATGAAAGTCGATCTCGATGTGTTTGGTGCGAGCATGAAAAAAGCGATCTCGATATATATATATTCCATTTTATATTTTTTATTTATAAGCAATCGTTTAGTTGTTTCAGGCTCCTAAGAATATGTTAACCTTTTCTTTCTTTTATAATTATCAATTCACAATAAGGTCAAAAAACATTAAAGAGTGATTTATAAGGAATTCTCATATTTTTATTTGGGTTATTTTAAAAATCAAAGGCTATGAAGATAAATTCAATTAAATGACTAAATTTCTAATATAATGAAAATAATGCTATTATGTGATCCAAAATTTGAATACAATGGGGCAAAATGATCATTTTAAGATTTCCTTTGCTTTGTTGATGGGAATAAAAATTAAGTAAAATTTTAGATCATTTCATACCCTTTTGTTACACAATTAACATCAACGATAATAACAATATCAAGTCTTTATCCTACAATGTGAGGTCAGCTACATGAATACTTTTTCTCCATTGTGTTCTAGTAAGAGTCAAAGTCTCATTGAAGTTTAATAAAAAAGGTCATTTCTAAATTTTTAACCAATTCTTTTTAGGTCCACCTCTACCTTTTTTAACATAATACAAATCTAAGACGTCTACTCTCTTAACCCGGTCATCAGAAAGCCGATGTTTTATGTGCCCAAACCATCTAAGGTGACTCTCTCTAATGTTATATGCCATTGGAGCTACTCCAACATCTTCACTTATATACTCATTTTGCATTATATCTCTAGGAGTGAAGCCACTCACCCACCGGAGTATCCTCATCTCTACAACACTTAATTTTATGCTTCTCCTTTAATGACCAACATTCTACACCATAAAACATTATAGGTCTCACCGCCATCTTATAGAATTTTTCCTTAAGTTTGAGGAATGCTTTTCTGTCACATAATAGGTCCAATGAATTCCTCCACTTCAACCATTCAACTTGTCCTAACATTTATATATTTGTTATAAATGATGATATTTGTGTTTTTGTTACACAATTAACATCATTTATAAAAAAATATATATAAATATATTTTTTTAGCAATTTATAATTCTATAATTCTATATACATTGACTTTAGATTTATTAATGAATAACAATATAATAACTCCATATGCACACATGTTTATGCATGTAATTAATAGTTACTCAATAGGTTTTTATCAAGAGATTTAACCAAGACGATTGCATTTCCCAAGAGGAGACATCGCCCAAAGGAAATGTCAACTCATAGCAAGTTGACTGGTGTTAGCTTGTGAATTCACAACCACTCTCTCACCCAAAAGGATCGTAACATGAAGACCATCTTGGTAGGTTAGAAAAAGACATCATCATCCTCGCAAGTCCCAACGGAGGAGTCATCTTGATCACTTTAGGCCCTTGAGGCCACTCGCCTTGGTAGAGATCGCTTGCCCACATTAGGTCTCCACAGTCAAGGTCATTAGCATATCATTAACATCCTCAATGTAGCCACAAGAAGCACACACATCATAAGCTCTTATCCACAACATCCAGGCTAGAGTCAATTCTGGTTAGCAACTATTTTCACTCAAGGTAACTCACCCATTAGACATGGAGTTTTGAATAACACCTCTATAAAGTCGCTCCCATATCCATAGGACCCGCCTTTGAGTACTTGACTCGCCCATATCACTCATCCTTGAAAACTCGCTAAGGGAACTCACCTCTAAATAATAAGCTACACCAGAGCCCAGGATCCACCTAGAATTTGACCATTTATGTCATGCATATAGGGAGTCTGTAAAAGTCATATCATATACTATACTTTCTATTTATTTTCAAGGGTAGCCTTCCAATGAGCCATTTTAGTTCTATATTTAAATGATAAAGATGCATCCTTTGAATCTTTTGAACCTCGCATGATATGCTATGAGACTCATAGAAATTCTAGAACTTTTTATCACACTCTCCATACAAATTCAAATCTCACCTAATTTTAAGGCTCTCATGTATAATTACTGGCTAAGAAGACCGGGTGTCATCTAAACATAAATTTGAATACCAAATTAGTCATTATTAACCTATGTATAGGTTAGAGACTTAAAAGAAAAGAATGAATATTTCCATTAGATTATCCTGTTATAATTTCGTTTGTGATAGCTTTCTTACTGCTTTCCTTTCAGACTGCAATCATAATTTTTAATTGGCCACATCTTTTTAATTACTTTAAAAAAAAATTATGCTAGAAAGCTGCTTTCTATAGCAGATTTAAATTTTTTTTTATTTATAATAAATTTTTAATCATGTTTATAGTAGCCCCTAGATGTCAAGAATGAAATATGAAAATGAAATTATAAGCTTAGAAATTCCCGGGCTATAACGGTAGGAAATATCTTCAGCCTGATTGGCGAGGCGGAGATGATGATGATGAGTTCTCATTCCCTTCAATTTGCGTTTCGCTCACGGGCGCACTGTCCCCACTTCAGAGGAATTAGGGTTTCGGAAAACCCAAAATTGACTTCTTCTACTTCTTCGCCATCGCACGGCTTTTTTCTCCGCTCAAATTCAAAACCCGTCTTCTATGGTGGACTCCACTCTCAGCTCCGGCGACGGCTTGCTAAGGTTTCTCAAAGGAATGCAACTTCCGAGTCCGAAGTTTCCACGTCTGCTTCTTTACGATTGCCTATTGCTGCGGAGGTGGTTAGGGATTTCTATGATGGCATCAATCGCCGCGATCTTGAATCCGTTGAGTCTTTGATTTGCGAGGAATGCGTCTACGAAGATCTTATCTTCTCGAAGCCTTTTGTGGGCCGGAAGGTGATGCTCAAAACTGGCCTTTTGTATCTACTGTTTTGTCTATGGTTGATTATAAACTATATAGCCGTTTTTCATGGCTACGAGAAGCAGATTATTAAGTTGGTGGAAAGTGAGAATTGGGATATGGACACAGAACGTTGTAATTTTTGGCTGAAAATTGAGTCATAAAACTCTTTACAAATTTGAAGGCAAAGTTCATGAAACATTGAAACCTAATTTATTGAAATGGAGAAACTTTGGATTTCTGAATAGAGTGGCAATTGTAGGCATTGCTTTAGAACAAAATAAATATATTACATAAAATATTATGAAATAACCAGATTGAAATTCTCCAACTTGAGATGTTCCAACAAAAAAAACTCCCAACATGATAACACACTATTTAGTTCCCTTTTATCTGTTTATTATAAGGCCATTTATTTTCTTCATATAAAATTTCTCTTCAATTGATGTATATATTTCTAGTCTATGAATAATTATACCCTTTGCTACATGTTTCTTAACGTGCTACATTTCAGAACAGTTACAATTCCTATATCAACTTGTCAATGAATTGCACATGAAGTCTAAGTGGCATCAGGGCATTGATTATAATGTTAATTCATCATGATTGTGGTGAGATTTGATAATTGTCCACCCAACATCATGGTCATTAAGACACATTAACAACATATAATTGGCATCTATTGTAAATCAAAGTTATGGACTTGGTGGCGAGCATCAAATACAAAACTAATGATCTGGTTAACGAGAATCAAATATAAAGCTATTCCACAATTTTAAATTCATGTGAGAAATAAAATGCTAAAAACAAGTTACTTCAATTAAGGTTGTTGCATTCTAGAAACTTTGTAGCGATAGAGATTGAGATATGCATCTTAGATTGCATGAAGATATGCACACACACAAATGCAAATAAAGAGAAAGTTTTGCGCACGTCGAGGGCACAAAGATTTTTTACATGAAATATGAAAGAAGAAAAATTATGGGGGCTAACACAGTTGAAATAGATTCATTAGTCTAAGTTTGAAAACACTAAGGTCCACTCTTATAACTTGAGAAGGTGGGAATACAATTTGGACCCCGAAGCACATCTAATGTGGTGATAGTAGAGGGCATTGAAGATCAATGATATCAATGAGGGAAATTCGGCATTGGTTCATGTTGTTAACAAAAAGCGACAATATATGGCAAGAGTTAGACCTTGACAAGCGTTGGTTGCTGTTGTGGGCTGATGGGCATCGTCGAAGGGATAACAGTTTATTTTAGGCAACAACTATTGTTTGATGAATCTAGGGCTATTAGGGTGTTCGTCTAATGCTTCTAGAAGTAGTTAAAGCTTCATGATTCTCTATTACTTTAGAATGCTTGGAGTTTAGAATGGGAGAAAATTAGGGCAATTGTTTTATATTTATAGATTTCAAGTGTAGTAATCTAGCCCTTATTTGAAATTATCTTGAATGATTCTTTTTTGTAATCAACAATGGGAATATCAAGCCATGCCCTCACTTGATCAAAAGAGTATTTGAAAAACCCTGCCCTAAACTGACTCAATTGACCAACATGGGTTACGATATGGTTGGGTTGCCAATTGATGATTGTCGGTGGTGATGTGGTGAAGACCACCAACTTCAGTGTCTAATCAGTGAATGAAAGGCACAATATCAAAACTCTTAGCGATCACAATTAAGTTGATGGATTTTATGGATCATCCAGGCAACACTTGGAGCATGGGCCATATTTTAATGCTACAAAAAAAAAAACATGATGATTAGTCACATGCTTGGTACAAATTTTTTATCTTCCTAAGAGCAATGCAACATGATTAATGGATTGTGAATTGGATGCTTACATTAGTTGCAACAATTCAAAGGCGTGAGGAAATTTTAGAAACTTTAAAAGTGGCGATGAAACTCCTTTTTTGAGCTGAATGTTTTTAAGAGAGCAATCCAACACCATAAACAGCTTATAATTTCTTTGCCCGTAAAGGTTGTAATGGCTTCAAGAAGTTTTCTTCTTCAAAAAATTTTTGATAGCCTGCACACAATCAGAGCAACTTTATTGTGATCCATTCACTTGATGCCTCTTCTCACATTGGGAACTTTTCAAAGATAATATCATCTGCATCGGCTAATGATATCATGCTGTCACTCATATTGCGAAAATTCTTACATGGAGAGAATGAAAGGAGATGTAATTTTGGACTCACTTCTAAAAATTTTCTTATTTTTGGGCCTTCTTGTGCCCTAAACACACTCATATTTATGTGATTTTGGACTTTTTTTAAACATCCTGACTTGATGTGCATTCAAGTTCAGGCATGGAAAAATTGGAGTTCGTTCGATGCTTCAAATAATTTTCATAAACTTTTAATTGTGCAGAGCCACTTTTGAGGTCATTTGGACTCAAATTTTGATTCTTTTTGTATTAGTGAAGTTGTCTCAAAGAATCCATCATTTATTTAAATTATAAGTTTGATGAAAACTGACTTCTTGCTATTCCTGAATTAATTTAGTTTTTGACATCATAATTTAATAATTTTTTTCTAAAAATGTGTAAAAATTTATGAACGAGCTAATCAATTGTGAGAGCCATATCATTTGCCCTTCTTTTCTAATATTGATTTTTGCATGTTCAAAAATACTCTTGGTCTCTAATCAGTGAATGGAAGGCATTGCCACTCCTTAAATATCACGTGGACCTCCTCATGGAGCTCTTAACCAATATTTTCCCCCTAATCGTAGTATTATGCTTATTGGGTATTTAGCATTGCCTGCACACCTTTGAATGCAATTTTATTTTTAAAAACTAGAATACAAATATTCCAAAACTGTCTTCTTTTGCATGTTCTGCAAGTTCAATAAGAACCAACAGCTTGCCGACCTCACTACCTCCTCTATTGGTTTTCTTCATAAAATGTGAACTAGTAAACTAAGGAAAAATACCAAGCAACAGGACTTCACTTTGGAAGATCGGGGGAGGACAACAAATTGTTGTTGGAGAGGGAAATCTAACAGAGGAGAAGAAACCATACACGATCCTTGAGGACTATAAGTTCATTTAACCAATCTTTTGTTACATGATTCTTGATTCTGGATCAAATATACTTAACATGAATATAGCCTTTCAGTAATATTATTGACCTAATACCCACCAACCAAGTTGGTTCTTGATTCTCCTTATTTATCACAATTCTTCTCACCCACTAATTCTTAAATACTTATTAACAGATAATTAGTAATATTTAGTTTTATGAATAAATGTTAGAGTAAATAGTTGGATCACAGGGACAGAAGCTATCAAAATATCCATTGAGATGAAAACTATTTATTAACTAAATGCATTCTTTCTTTTAGTTTCTCTCATATATTTGTGTTCTCTTAGCTTCATCATTCTAGACCTAGTAGTACAGGCGTTAGTAATTAGGTTACATGGCATTTTTATGTGGTTGTTGATATAATGCAATGTAGGCTATTATGGAGTTTTTCAAGAATTTTACAGACTCTATCAGCAGTGAACTTCAATTTGTCATTGATGATATATCTGGTGAGGGCACATCAGCTACTGGCGTTACCTGGCACCTGGGTATGCTATGTTGTGAATTTTATTCCTTCCATTTCTATTTGGTGTAGTAGACATAAATTTAAATCATTAATTTTTGAAACTAAAATTACAACTACAGAATGGAGAGGAAGGCCGTTTCCATTTAGCAAGGGATGCAGCTTCTATCGCTTGGATGTATCTGAAGGCACCAGAAAGATTATGTATGTTTTCTATCACATAAATTTTAGAATAGCTTCAAAATTAAATTGCAAATCCCATTTCCACTTTTATCTGTTGCTGTTAAAAACATATATGAATGTGCTTAACTATTGACCTGGGGCATAACAAAGATCCTTTGATTTAATTTCTTAAATATCAGTAGTGTGATGGTAATTATATATTATATCTACTGCTGGGCTCAAGACTCCTTTGTTACTTTTATTTGGTATAGCATGTCTTTGCTGGCTAGATTGGGTCATTAAGACTAATGTAGTGTTCCTAATGCATCTGGTTTTCCAGGTAATCTGTTTTTGTGTTTTTCTTCCTAGTGCTGGCATGCTTGGCCTCTTCACGTACAGAATGAATTATTCAATTGTTGTGGTTCGAATGTTCTGTTTGAAACAGTGGACAAATGTTGTGAAAGTCGGACCGGACAACGAAGCAGGAGGAGAAGTTCACGGTTCGATGGTTCAACCTCGAACAAGATGATGTAATAAATACTAATTTTATTAAAAATAATAAAATTACATAATAATATGCAATCATTCTAAATATGTGATAGAAAATTAAACAGAAAAAAATGAAGCACAAAACTTACACAATTAATAAATTTTCTTAAAAATAAAAAAATATAAATTAAACGTTTTCGTTATATCTTCTAGTCTCTCATTAGAAACACTAATCTCATTGCATTTTGAATTAATATAAATTTTCAAATAGAATCTCAAACCAAATTAAATTATAAAATTGATTTTTCCTCAAATATCTATATCTCAATATAGATGGATTCAACAAGATATCCATATACTACAAATCTAAATCTACAACAGCCATATAAAAGAATGATTAAAACTTCAAGTTTGGTGAAGAAATCTCAAATCTTACAAAGCATTAAAGCAAAGGGGTGGACCATAACGAAGAAAACATGACTGCACGATCTGCATAACAAAGCAATCGGCTAGGTTGGCCTGCGATAAAGTTCGATGGTAGTGCGAGCTTGAACACTGCAACAGATTGCGATGGAGGGAAGAAACTCCGAACTTGAGAACAAGTCAAGCTAGGCGGGCCTGCGACAGAGTGCGGTGGAGTGCAATGGCAGTGCGAGGTCGAACACTGTAGTGGATTGCGACGAAGGTAAGAAACTCTGAACTCGAGAAATAGGAATGGGTGAGGGTCTCAATTGGGGGTCTAGTAGAGGAAGGGGCTCGTTTTGCGTTAGGGTTGTAGTTTTAGGAATTGCGATCAATCGCTCAGATTTGCATGATTTTAAAACGGGCGGTTCTTTAAAATGCGGCCAGTTCGCCGGTTTTTCTGTTCAACTGGTGATTCAACTGATTTTTACCTGGTTCGACTACAAACCGGGTTTATTAATATGATCAGACCGATCACCCGACCGGTTCCCAGTTGAATCGGTCAATCTGGTCTGATTTTTAAAACCTTGACTGAGACTGGGACTGATACTTTTATTAATTTTTCAAGGATACTGTTTGTATATCCTTGTGGGTAGGTGCATCTATATCGGTTGATGGTCTCCATACTAGCATTTCTTCATGCTCCCTATTCTCGTTCCTAGAATATGAGTAAAATGTGCAACATAGGCACTTCCTTGATGTCTGATTATATGCCTATGAAAATGCTAAATAAGTATATGATGCAAAATAAGAAGCTTGTGGTAAAAATCAGATATTTATAGGCACGAGTCAGATTTATCAATTTGGTTTTGGTTTAGATTTTGAAGCATATTTTAAATACTGTCATCCAATGTTTAAAATTGCGTATACGGGTATGGAGGCGTTTTTCATTCGTGAGGCGAGGCGTAAGCCTCAAGGTGTTTTGAGACGTAAGCCTCAAAATCAAAAGATTGCGTAAACATAAAATGATAAATTTTTTATATACTAATGAGTGAATAATATAAAACATAAAAAAACATAAGATATGAAGTGAAATCAAAATATCCCAATAATAAGACAACATGAAATATAGTTCAACTCAAAATTCTATCTTTCCCAAATCCCAGTATTCCTTTCATTAACATATAATTCCAATTTCTAAAAATAAATAGCAATGACATATCACATAAGAACTCATAAGTCATCAACACTGTCATCACTAAGGAGTTCTTCATTTGAATCATCATTATGATGAACTGCTCTCCTCCCTTCCTCCTCTCCTATAGAGTCCAATGTCGGGCATTTATTTCAAGATTTATGTAAGTTTTAATATATATAGCGTGAAGCGTAAGCCTCATGCTAGTGAGGTGAGGCGGGCCTTAAGGTGGGTCTCAACCGAGTTGAGGCGCAAGCCTCATAACAAAAACTCGAGGCGTAAGCATCGAGATGTTTTTTACTGGAATTGCGCAAAGGCGAGCCTCATATTGCGCAATTTTAAACCATGCTGTCATCTTGTAAGGAGTTGATCATCATGATGTAAATGTAAAAAAAAAATGATGCACATTATCGTCATCATTCATTTATATAAAAATACAATCATCATCAATACGACAACGACAACATCAAGCCTTTATCCCACTATGTGGTTCGGCTACATGAATCTTTTTTCTCCATTGTGTACTTTAAGGGTCAAATTCTTATTTAAATCTAATTAAAAAAAGATACAACAACAACAACATCAAGTCTTTATCCCTCTAATTAAAAAAATATAATTTTTAATAAATTCTTAACAATTCTTTTTAGGTTTACCTCTATCTTTCTTAATATAGGCTAAATCTAATACATCTATTCTTCTAATCGGGTCATCAGTAGGCCGACATTTTATATAACCAAACCATCTAAGGCGAATATCTCTAATCTTATCTGCCACTAGAGCTACTTTAACCTTTTCATGTTTATACTTTTTTAGCATTCTATCTCTAAAAGTGAAGCTACTCATCTATCTGAGCATTATTATCTCTGAAATAATTAACTTAATATTATGTTTCTCTTTTAATGGATAAAATTCAGCGTCGTATGGTCTCACCATCTCACCACCATCTTATAGAATTTTCCCTTAAGTTTGAGGGACACTTTTTTATCATACAACAGCCCGGATGCATTTCTCTACTTCAACCATCTAACTTGAATTCAACTAATAATATATCCATCTATTTCACCATCATTTTGAACAACAGATCTGAGATATCTAACACGTGCACTCTTAGTAAGGACTTGATCATCAATATATGAAATTTTTTCTATTTTGGAAATTGTTACATAACTATTATCATTATGAAAGAAGTTAATTATCATCAAGATTATTACTTCAAATTGAAAAGAATTCAATTTCAATTTTATGATACCAACATGAAAAAAATTGTAATTATTTTACAAGAAAATTGTGTCATTAATTGCTTATTTAAGGTTGGAGCAATCAAAGAAAATTTTGATCATTATAAAAGTAATGGATGGGATCTATTTATTTATTTATTTATTTCAATGAGGTGTGGCCAAAATATAAAAGAAACAATTATAAGAGATCCTCCGCACTCTCCAACTTTCCATCAAGGCTCCAATGCAAAGAAGAGAGTTTTGGATGTTTTATAATCAAAGATCTCTTCAACTAATTAATGTTACAATCATTTATGTAATCAAATCATGATGATTTTGAAATTTCCATTTTCCTTCATGAAATTATGTGATTATGTGTATTTTTTTACTTATAAATACAGATTGAGATGCATTAGAAAAATATGTTGGTTGAAACAATGCAAGGTGTTGTTTATGTGCTATAAATTGTGAAGTTCGATGTCTTCCTCCAATTAGATTTTTTAGTGATTTCCCTTTAAAATTATCTTTATACCTCTTCATTATCATCTTAAATAATATTATGATCTTCCTTTTTTTTTATTATTATCTTCCCCATTCACTTCCTCTTTATGCCGTCATGTATGGGCCCGCATTCCATCTACATTAGCATAACTTCGTGAAACAATATATTTTCTTCTTTTTTATTTGTGTCTATGATGCATGATTCTATTATTTTTTCTTTGTTTTTTTGAACATTATTCTAAGAATATTATGTATTTTTTAAAATAGTTGTCGCCATGATTGTCTTTTATCTCAAATTAAATTAGAGCTTCATCATAGGATTGATGATCAAATTTCATTCGGAAAAATCAGCAAGATAGATTTACGTAGAAGGTCAATGAACTAGTGTAATTCAAGAATGAGTGAGTTGGAGAAGAATTATCACAAAAATAAGGTAAAGTAGATTTTCTTTTTTTTAGCTCGGAGTTGCGCTTCTCAAATATCGTTGCATTGTGCCTAAATTTTGGTTCAAAATCTTGCCTAATTTGCTCCAAATGGTTACATCTCTTGTCTACCCGATATAGCTTCTTCATTGAGGATCGACATCTCTCGTATTAGTGTTGCTAGGTGCCTAATTTGAGCTACTTTTGGCACTTGCAGTTGGCAGCTGTCAGTAGATATATTATTTTTGGAATGAATTAGGAGATATATACTTGATCTTTTGTAAGGTTTGTCATGACAATTTTTCCTAAGAGCTTGGAGTATCAAGTTGAAAACAGACGAGTATGACAAAATATTGCAATTACTATACACCTAAAGTATTTTCCTATAGTTTAAAATAATTTTATTAAAACCATTCCTCAACTCCAACCCACAATAAATGACTCAAGCTCAACTCAAAAAATTATACATGAACTAGACTTACAAGGAACTTGTTTGCTCGCATGCGGGCATGAACAAAACTTGAAAGATCATTGGAGAAACATAGACAAAATCTACTCAATACACATCCAAAACCCTCTTAATCATTTCCAAGCAAGAAGAAACTTAAATTGGTGCGAGAAATAAGAAATGGGCATGATTCTCTATCTATTGCCAAGAACTGAATATTTAGGAAGGCCCGTCCTAACGAAATACAAATTAGATATGGACAAAATACGCTTATCTATTAAAGAATTGAAATTCCAACTTTCAAAATTAATAATTGAATTCACAATTCTCAAATATAAGTGGAAACAATATAAATGTTGTTTTAAAAA